CGCCACAGCGCCGTCCCTGGGGCATCTGCTGGGTTCATCTTCAAAACTTAAACTCGAATACTCCTAGGCTACGCTCACGCCAAATTTTATCCCGATCGGATCAGCCGTTTAGAAATGCCAGATTTATTTCCAAAAAATTTCCATTCTGCCCCACTGTGCAATCGCATATTCGAAGAAACTTTGAAGAAATTTGGATTTTTAATAGGCTTAATAAGTAATTCGATGGCATTTTGTATTATATAGTAATTAATATGAAAAAGCTTACTAAATCGGAACTAAATCTAAGCGGCATTAAGTAATACTAGTTAAATAGAGTGTTTAACAATCACTTTTCCATTGTTATTAACATAATCTTTTCAAAAATAAAATACATCTTATTATTGATATATAGAAAGAAAATTGTGGTTCCAAATACAGGACATAACTTCACCATTAATCTCTTCATTCTTACATTATTTAGTAAAAAAAAAGTCCTACTTCTTTAAACCAATTTTTTAAATCAGTTTATAATTATCAGAAAAAATTTTCAAACTAAAACTTTCCCTTAGAGAAACAGATTTTTAAATTTTTCAGTTTTCAAGTTTTAAAAAGATCGTAAGTTTAGGATTATTACAATTTATTTTGCGATTAGTTTTCTTTTTATTTAAGTACATAAATTACTTCGATCATAAAATTTAAAACTATAATTGATTTTTTTACAGACGATTTAGTATACTTCGGAGTTGAAGAAGAAGTTATATTTCCTACATATTTAGCAGGTGCTACTGAAAGTGTTCTACTAATTGAACAAGAACTTTCTACACAACCCCATATTCGCAAAAACTTTGAAGAAGTTTGGATTTTTAATAAGCTGAATAAGTAATTTCATAGCATTCTATGTTTTTCTTTATTCAATTCAAATGGAAATGGTTTTATCTGTTAGAAGTGTCTAACCAGAACGGTTAATTTTAATTTGTAAATAATACCTGAATCATTACAATTAACACTATCTGTACCGTACACAATATCCATAAAATTATTATTATATTTTAGAATAATCTTCAGTTGGTCCCTTTGAAAACATACCATAGACTGTCAGTAAACTAATTCATAGATTAGTCAATGAAATATTACATATACTAATTAACAGACTAGTCAGAAGACTAGCTAAAAGACTAGTTCATAGATTAGTCTATTAACTAATCTATAGATTTGTCGATAGTCCATAGATTGTCAAAAGACTATTACACCGATTTGTCAATAGGCTATTCTATAGACAGTCCACAAAATATTAAATAAACTGGTCCATAGATTAGTCAATAAACTAGTTAATAGTCTAGTCAATAGACCAGTCCATAGTCAAGACAATAGACTTGTCTATAAACTAAGTAGTCCATAGATTAATAAATAAACTAGTAAAAAAATTATTTAATAAGCTAGTCCATAGATTAGTCAATAGACTAGTCTTTAGAATATCAATAGATATTCTGGTCCAATATTATAAACTGGTCCATAGATTAGTCAATAAACTAGTTAATAGTCTAGTCAATAGACCAGTCCATAGTCAAGACAATAGACTTGTCTATAAACTAAGTAGTCCATAGATTAATAAATAAACTAGTAAAAAAATTATTTAATAAGCTAGTCCATAGATTAGTCAATAGACTAGTCTTTAGAATATCAATACATTTGTCAATAGTCTAGTCGATAGACTAAACCATATACTAAGATTCCTAAGATTCTTTCTCGACGAGTCCTTAGTGTTTGACAATTGCACAATTAGTGTTCTGAGGTTTCCTCCTGACAGCCACAAAATCTGCATAGCTTCGATATGGAGTTTCCTAGGATGAATTGATGATATCTGAGACCACAGTGTCTCGTGAGTAGTCCCTTTAGTATTCTGAGATCACGTTTGTTAAGCGATAACAGCTGTTGGGAAATTCCTCTTGATAGCTTGATTAAGCGCTTGGTCTGTCGAAGACCTGTTGTTGCTTCCCAGTGGCGAGCAAAATCCGATTCGACCCACGATACGCATCTTTGTCTGGCCAAAGAATGGTTCAGATACCAAAGAATAGATTAGTCAATAAATTAGTCAATTGACTAGTCCATAGATATGTTAATAGACTAGTACATAGACTACGCAATGGATCAGTCCATAGACCAATCAACAGTTGAGAACTATTAAACACACTAGATTAGTCAATAAATTAGGCAATAGAATAGTAAGTAGTTAATAAATTAGTCCATAGTCAAGTCAATAGACTAGTCCACAAACTATTTAACAGACTTATCAATAAAGTAGTCCATATAATAATCAATAAATTAGTCAATAGACTACTATATTGACTAATCCTAAAATTTGCCAATAGATGAGTCCATAGACTAGTTAACAGTCGAGTACACAAATTTGTCAATAGACTAGTCCAATGACTGGCCAACGGATTAATAGAATTGCGCAACTTTGTGCATTCATAGTTATTAAAATTTATTTGACAGTTCTAATTTTTAGAACGATGCCTATTTTTAGTACTCAGTTCAGAATGTCCGAAATTTTACATATATACATCACTCTTGAAGTAAATATGACTTAAATATGTATTTGAAATAAGCTGATTATTCTTAAAGTCAGTTCATATTTCTAATTGTTCGTAAAGTTGCATACACTCGAGGCAATCATTATTAGCTCTCACAACATTCAAGTTTCAAACAGATCGGTAGTTTAGAACTACATTATAATCGTAAAATAAATTTTAATAATTCTGTATAATTTGTAAAATTTTTTACATTTTAATTTGAATACAAACAATATTACAATTAACACAGCCTTTCCATTATACAATACCCAATATTTATTATTATTTTTTTTTTTTAGATGACTATTATGATATAATTGAATTAAGATTTGGAGAATCTTTTGATTATGACGCAATAATCCTTGAATCGTCAGCCGTTTCTACAGAAAGTGTACCGAAAATTGAACAAGTCTCTGCGAAAACGACTATTCGTAGCAACTTCGCAGAAGTTTGGATTTTTCATAAACTAAATAAGTAATTTCAGTGCATTCTATGTTTGTAGTCTGAAATAACGAATTGGGATTAATATTGTAATGTTTACAGAAATGGGATTCAAAATACATTGGTCCGTCGTTTAAACATTTAGTAGCACAGACCATAATTCAATAAGTTAGACTCTATACTAGTCCATAGACTAGTTCATAAGCTTGTTTATAAAGTGGTCTATATAACTATTTCCTAGATCACTGAAAAGTTCGTCGATAAGTTCATAAACCCTTTCATAAACTAGTTCATAAACTTATCTGGTCAATATACCAATCCTGACACAAGTGTATAGGATCGTTCATGGACTAGTTCAAAGAATAGATGACTAATCTGTAGAAAGTCGATATACTATTCAATATACTAGTTCATGACAAGTCGGTAGTGTGGTCTAGTTAGACTAGTCCATAAACTAGTTCATAATTAGTCCGTACACTAGTTCATTGTCTAGTAAGTAGACTTGTCGACAGAAGAGTCAGTGGAAAAGTTAAGAGACTAGTCTATAAACTAGTCCATAGGCTACTCCATAGGCTAGTCCCTAGACGACTCCATAGGACTAGTCCATAGACCAACCAATTTATCATACATCTAAATATTATTGTTATCATACATCTAAATATTGTTGTTGTTGTTTATCTTGAAATGTTCGCGTTGTGTTCATCCGAAAAGCCGAATAATGGTCGTAAGCCCAGTTTTAGACTCAACAATAATGATATAACTTCTATCTCATATAAAATAAAAAATTTGCACCAACTAAAATTGCTGAGTCTCAATCAGGACTAAACAATAGTGAAATTAGTAACTTAATTATATGAAGCTTTCAATAAAACATTATGTTGTCCGCTTAAAAATTCATTCATTTAATTCATTCTTTTTTTAGATTTTAAATATGACCTATTTAAACTTAAGATACCACAAAGTATAGGGCTAAGATTTGGTGTAAACATCGACGGTGATACTGAAATGAACGATGATGGTCTAAGAAATACAAGAATACGCCAACATTTTACACATATTTGGATTTTTCAAAATTTTCAAAAGTAATTAACCCAAAAGAGGGAACAAACAATTTTTGTTCTTTTTAATATATTCGGAATTTTTCATTAAAATCATATAAAAATGTAAATTTGGCATTAAATTACAAAAAAATATTTTGCTTAAATATTTTATTTTTTATTATTTACATAAAGTTTATAATTTAAGTTTATAATTTGTCTTAGCAACTCCCAAATGATACAGATTTTTGGTATCATTTGGGAGTTGCTAAGACAAAAACCATTTTTAGGAATGTTAAATAGGAGGATTATCTTTCAAAAACTTGATTATTTTCAGAGTAAAATTTAAACAATTTTACAAATTTTGTGAAACATTGTTTTGATTCTAAAATTCTTTTACAGAATTTTTAAGGAACCAGTTCTATAGTTATACATTATACCGCAATTCAATATAGTAATTTATTTATGCCATTTTGTTGCCAAGTCCATGGATTCTTAACAGACCCGAGATCTATATTAATTTCTAATAAAGGGTTAATATATTTCTTTTTCGCATAATTATAAAAATCTTAAAAATTATTTATATACATATATTTTTTGATATTTTCTATTACTAGGGTTGGTGTCTTAGCTAAACTTGGCTAAAATTGTCTAAATGTCTAACTATCTATAACTGTTCCTGTTATTTACAAACTAATACAATTTCTAACTTATATAAAACCCTATACACCGAAAGAAATTTATTTAAAATAACTACATTATACTATATTTATTTTATATTTAACACATTTTATATTATTTGCATGTTATTTTTCATAAATCATACTAATATCTGCAGTTAAATGTAAAGCTTTTTGTGTTGTAATTGTTTAAATGTTTTTGTATTTAAATATTTTTATATACAAAATTAATAATATATATTTTTTTTTTCCTTTCCTTCTATCCCGATTTCCTTAACAACCCCATTTAGCACCGATAAAAATGGTTTGGCTACTCTTACCAAAAACATACCCGATACCATTACTTCTTGGGTAGTGACCGGTTTCTCTTTAAACGATAAAACCGGCTTTGGCATGGTGGCAAATCCTACAAACATTGAAGTTTTTCAACCCTTCTTTTTAAGCACTAATTTGCCCTATTCCGTTAAGCGTGGTGAAGTTATATCCATACCCGTAGTAGTCTTCAATTATATGGATAAAGCCTTAGATGCTGAAGTCACCATGGAAAATACAGATGATGAATATGATTTCACTGAAGTTTCCAATGAAATTGAGGAATTAGTTTTAGAGGACAAACAACGTGTTAAAAGAGTAACTGTCCCCTCTAATAGTGGTAAAAGTTTGTCTTTTATGATACGTCCCAATAAGGTGGGAGAAATTACCTTGAAAATTAAGGCCATAACACCCTTGGCTGGTGATGCTATACATCAAAAACTTAAGGTAGAACCAGAAGGTGTTACTCAATATGAAAATCAAGCCATTTTTATAACTGCCTCTAAAGAACCCTTTAAGGAAACTCTTAAAACTGCTATACCCAAAGAAGCAGTATTGGATTCTGAATATTTGGAATTTTCTGTGGTTGGTGATATCTTAGGTCCCACTATTAAGAATATTGATAAATTAGTGCGTAAACCTTATGGTTGTGGTGAACAGAATATGGTTAACTTTGTGCCCAATATTTTAGTTTTACACTATTTGGATGCTATTAAACGTGAAATGCCGACTGTGGTTGAAAAAGCTAAAAATTATATGGAAGTTGGTTATCAACGTGAATTGAACTATAAACATAAAAATGGTGCTTATAGTGCTTTCGGTGAGGGCAGCAGTGAACCGAATAGTTGGCTTACCGCTTACGTGGCTCGTTCCTTTATACAGGCTAAAAAATATATTACCATTGATTCGAATGTCATTGATGAAGCATTACAATATGTGGTATCAAATCAATTGGAGAATGGTCAATTTAAACAGACTGGACGTTTATTCCATCCGGCTCATCAGAATGATGTTGGTTTTACGGCTTTTGCTTTATTGGCCTTTTTGGAAGATATGGTAAGTATTAGTATTTCTTATACTTTTCATATTTCATCTAAAACTTCAATTATTTTCCATTTATCTTCTAGGACTATTCTAACAAATATAAATCAGAAGTCGAGAAAGGTATTAAGTATTTGGTGGATAATATTGAAAAGGAAAGCGATACCTATGCTCTTGGCCTGGCAATGGTGGTCTTAAAGAAAGTACAACATCCTAGTGCTGACAAGCTAATGGAAAAACTAGAAAAATTAGCTCATGAAGAAAATAGTCTTAAATGGTGGACAAAATCGTCTAAGGATCATAACAACGATATTGAAATAACAGCGTACATATTGGAAGCTTATGTATACACTGAACCAGCTGGAAAACTTTTACCCATTATTAAATGGTTGATAGGTAAGCGTAATAGTAATGGTGGTTTCGATTCAACACAAGACACCGTTGTGGGTCTACAAGCTCTAATCAAATTTGCTGAAAAGTATATTGCTGGTGGAGATGGTAAAATGACAATTAAGTTTGAGGCTCAAGATGAAGAGGGAAAAGAAACCACTAAGGGTAGTTTTTCGGTAGATAAGGAGAATTCCTTGATTTTGCAAACTCATGTAGTAAGTGTAATAAGATTAATTGTAATTTGCTATATAACTTATAAACTTTTGTTGTTCTTCTATAGCTTCCCAAATCCTCCCGTCAAATAACATTGGAAGCCAATGGTGAAGGCTCATCACTGGTACAATTATCTTATCGTTATAATTTAGCCAACAAAGATGACAAACCTAGTTTCAGTATTAAGCACACAATTCAACCAACCAATTATCCCAGTCTATTAAAAATGGATGTTTGCTCTGAGTTTGTTCCCGGCGCCAATAGTGATTTAAAAGAATCTAATATGGCCATTATGGAAATATATCTACCATCTGGTTTTACCGCCGATACCGATAAGTTCGATGCCATACGTCAAACCAAACAAGTACAACGTGTTGAAACCAAGAATTCCGATACAGCTATTATTATATATTTCGATTATCTAACGGCTGGTGAAGAGGTATGCTTTAATGTTAATGCCGAGAAGACTCATGCAGTTGCCAAGCAAAAGCCAGCCGCCATCACCATGTATGATTACTATAATTCGGATCAACGTGCCACTGTTTACTATGAAGTCAAGTCATCGTTGTGTGATATTTGTGAAGAGGGTGAATGTGGCAAAGGCTGTGAAAATAAAGAAGCCAATAGAAAGGCATAAATACTAAAAAATATTAAAGAAATAAATATTAACAATTAAATAATAAAATACTAATATGTATGTATATAAATAATTCACAAACATTAATAAAAACGGTTGAATTAGAAAAAAAAGTACTTTTTCGAGATAGTCTGCTATTTGTACTCATAACTTGTTACCTTGTGTGCTGTTACATACGGAACGACAAACTTATATATACCCTATATCACCACTGATTATGGTGGAAGTTATAAAACGTATCACACACCAAATTTTCCACATTTTGATGTTATAGACCCCGTGACGGTATACTTGTGTCTAAAATATTTGATTCTTTAATTGTACAGAAGTTGCGAAAATTTAACGTGAAGTTTTATTAAAATCGAATATTTTTAATAAAACAAACCATGTAATATTGGGAAATTTTCTTGAAACCATAGTGAACGATTATTTTGTTTTCCACCTAGTATAATGAAGACCCGTATTTATGCCATAAATTAAATATACATATTTTTATAATTATATAAAACTAGCTATACCCAGTGTGCTTTGCTACACTAAAAGCAAAAAAACCCACTTACACATGGGAGATGACAATCAAATTATTGTAAGTTCGCCAATTTTTCCGAATTTAATTAATATGTGAGGGGCCAATCCCCCCATTGAAAGTCCGCCAATTTTTCTCTAAATGGTCACATGAATGTCAAAGTTCTTCTTCTGTAAAATTTGAAGATTCTAGCTTCTACAGTATCTCAGATATACGAATTTGTCTATATAATTCATATCCACCACCATCAGTGGTGATAGAGGGTATATATAACTTTGTCATTCCGTGTGTAACACCAAGAAATATTCATCTGAGACCCAACAAAGTATATATATTCTGCGTCCTTATCAAATTCTGAGTCGATTTAGATATGTCCGTCTGTCTGTGTAAAACACGCTCACGATAAAACGAAGCAATAGAATTTAACCAAATTCACCCAAAACGTTCTTCATTTTTGTTTGGTATTGAAAATGGGCAAAATCGGTTCACACCGGGAGAAGTTATGAATCAAAATTTAAAACAACCTCGAAAAAAAATAAGCATTTTTTACACATTCCGATGTAATTTTCTCGAAAACTATGTAAGATAATTCCATGGAAATCACCACACATTCGTTTCTGCACAATATCTTGCTAACTGCTGAAAATTACTAGAATCGGTCCACAATTTCATGTACCTCCCATACAAAAGTACATATTCCCGGAAAAGGGGTTTTTTGTTCATAACTTCCGTCACAATGTTGATATCTTCACAAAATTTTACAAATTAAAATCTTATGTCAATAGAATTCATTCAGAGAAAAAATTTTCTGGATCGGTCCATAATTGGACATAGCTCCCATACAAGGTACCCTCCCGAAAATCATATAAACGCGCATAACTCATTACCAAATTAAGATATCCATATAAAATTTGGTATAAGTATTGTCCATATGTATAGGAATATTACTGTGAAAGTTTTTTTCCGATCGGTCCATAATTGGTCATAGCTCCTATACAAGGTCCCCTCCCAAAAATCACTTAAACGCGCATAACTCATTACTGAATTAAGATATCCATATAAAATTTGGTACAAGCATTACTTATATACACGGAAATATTACTGAGAAAATTTTTTCCGATCGGTAACTGGTCATAGCTCCCATACAAGGTCCCCTCCCGAAAATGACTTAAACGCACATAACTCATTACTAAACTAAGATATCCGTTTGGTACAAGTATTGCTTATATGCACAGAAATATTACTATAAAATGGTTTTACGATCGGTCCATAACTGGTCATAGATCCCATACAAGGTCCTCTCCCGAAAATCACTTAAACGCACATAACTTTATATACATAATTGGTCATAGCTCCCATACAAGGTCCTTTTACGAAAATCTCTTAAACGCACAGTACTCATTACCAAATAAAGTTATTGATACAAAATGTGGCACAAATATTAGTTTTGTATACAAAAATTCTATTTCAAGATTTTTTCACGATAGGTTCATAACATGGGTGCGCTCGGTCCCATACTAGGTTCCCTTCAGAAAATCACTTATACACACATTACTTATTACTAAATTACTATATAGATACAAAATTAGACTGAAATATAGCTTTTATGTACAGAAATTTAGCTTAAAGAATTTTTTACAATCGGTCTATATTTGGTCATATTTCCCATGCTAGGTCCTTCCCCTAAAAGCGCTTTAACCGTATAACAAGTTGCATTATCAATTTGTGCAGAACAAAATTATATATATGTATTTTGAAAATCCTTAAATCTTTCACACACATGCATACATGCAAATACTAAATATCACTGTTAATCTTGGGATTTTTCTATTTAAGACATGAGAAAACTTATTTCTACAAATATTTGATCAATTAGAAAAGTATTAATATAAAAGTAGCTGGTGGAGGGTATTTAAGATTCGGCTCAGCCGAATATAGCACTCTAACTTGTTTTCCCCCAAAATGTTCAGATGAATATGAAAGTCCTTTTTGCAAAATTTTAGGAATCTAGTTCTATTAGTTTCTTAGATAAAATATTTTGTTGTATTTAATTCATATGGGAAGTGCCGCTCCCCCTATTGGTAGTCCTTCAATTTATCACCCAAAATATTTACATGGATGCTAAAGTTCTTCTTGCAAAATTGGAAGCTTTTAACTCTAATAGTTTCCAA